TAAGTATGTTGGAACACACAGTATTAAATTTCTAAGTATGTTGGAACTTGGTTGGAATAGAGGTGTAGGAGACAAAAACGACAATGTCATTGCAAAGTCTATCCAAGTGTTTGTTTGCATTAACTTTTCAATGTGGATAACTCCAACTGTGTTGTTTGCAATTACTTATTTACTTTTTAGCCTTTTTGTACACATGCAACTACCTGTATCTGGCTGTAAGGCTTTTCTTATTTTTATTTCCATTGCTATGCTTCCAGTTCTTATTTCCTTCTGCGATTGCAGTGTTTTTTCTTGACTGTGGTTTCATAGAGCTTGGCATCAATAGGGAGCACACACTAAACTGAATCAAGGATATTCTCATATCTGCATTTGTCATGCTGATTTGCCACTTCTTCCCTCTTGTACTGTGAAACTGGTTGTGAAGTGATAAATAACCAAACCTTGTTATGTCTTGTAAATAGTCTAATCCCATTGTCATGTCAAATCCTCTAATCTTGATCCAAACTTTGTCTGTTGATCTAATTAGGTTTTTCATTTGTTCCTTATAAATTTTTCGCTCTTGGAGTTGCTGGGCTGGCTTTTGAGACTGCTGAGGTGGAATGATCCATACAGTTCCTTGTGGCTTTAAACAGAAACATCTGTCAGAAATGAGCAATTTGTTGGCACAGTTTAGCAGTGAGTGAACTTGTGTGTCACAGCACTGCTGCTGCTCTGGTGGGGCTTAAGTCGATGAGAGACGTTCCTGGGGACTGCAGAGCCTGCAGAGACCAGTTCTCTGTTCCGGGTCTGCAGGAAGCATTGTGCTCTCTGGTGACCTTCACAGGAAAATGAAAAGTCCAGATGGATGATACTGACTCGTTTTCGTTCTTTGTTTGTGTTTCCTTCCTTTCCTTTTTTGGAGAGGAGGCTTCAGCATTTTATTCCTGCTGGCTAAAGACAAAACTTAAATTTGATTTTATTTTTTTATTTTCAAAGTCATCAGGGACTTTTGCTGAAGTGTAGAGCTATGAGTTCAAGTACTGTCCTGAACAGAGATGATCTCTTTAAATTAGAATCTAACATCTAACTTAAACTGATCTGGAAGGAGGGTACTCATCTTTAGGATCTGTGTGAGAACTATATATATACATACATACATAAATTAAACAAAATGTCTGTTTCTTTTTGTCAGCTTACATTGCATCGTGCCAGCCATCCTTAAACAGTTTTGAGAGAAGTTCCTTCCTTGGCAGAGAGTCTGCCACCGTTTAAGCCAGTGGCGGCACTTCACTGATTTAAGAGAGTGGCACTGGGCACTGGGGAGGGGGAGTTTGTCAGTGCATTTGTTTCCTTAGGCCACAGCTCCCAAGGGAACAGCAGGAGTCACCAGGCAAGGGGCTTTAGTTTGTGGACGTTTTAAATTAAGTTGTGGTCACAGGCCTGTTCATAAACCTGCAAGGAAAAGCAAATGCGATTTCATTGTAATCCTGTTTGTTGCAGAGACACTGCAGAACGCTGCACTCAGCTGCTGGGGCAGCAGCCTTCCTGGGCTTGAAATGGCTCATGTGGGTTACTGGAAGCACCTGCTGTGTGCCCACAATGCAAGGGCTGTAGAGGAAACAAAATGCTGCTCTGCCGGGGCTGCGACGTGAGCTGATACAAACCCTGCTGAGAGCAGAGACAGGAGCAGCCCAGACACGTGTGGCCACTAGGCAGCAGCATGGGAGGTAGTTGCAGGAGGCTATTTGGCAGAGCAGTGACAGGAGATTGATAAGATTGCTGCCAGAATTTGTTATTAGTATTTATGTATCCAAGTAGTCTGCTATGTGTTGGAGTAGTTGTATGCATCTCCTACTAAATACGGGCAGTGTAAATTGAAGTTGGATGGGACCTGTGGTATGTGAAGTGTAGTCTCCCCATGAACTGGCAGCAATGCTTTCATCCTGTTTGGGTGGGGCTGCCTGCCCCCCTGCACAAACTCATCACAGAGTCACAGAATATACCGAGTTGGGAGGGACCCACATCGAGTCCAACCCTCAGCCCTGCACAGGCCCAGCCCCAAGAGTCACCCCCTGTGCCCCAGAGGATCAGCCAAACCCTCCCTGAGCTCTGGCAGCCTTGGGGCTGTGCCCACTGCCCTGGGGAGCCTGGTCAGTGCCCAACCAGCCTCTGGGGGAAGAACCTTTTGCTGAGATCCAACCTGAGCCTGCCCTGACACAGCTCCAGCCATTCCCTGGGTGCTGTCCCTGGTCCCCCCAGAGCAGAGCTCAGTCCCTGCCCCTCCTCTGCCCCTGCCCAGGAAGTTGGAACTGCAGTGAGGTCTCCCCTCAGTCTCCTCCAGCTGAACGCACCAAGTGCCCTCAGTGTCCTCACATGGCTTCCCCTCAGGGCCCTTCCCCATCTTCGCTGCCCTCATGGGAGCTCATTTATTGTTTGCACCACGTTTCATTCCAGACAGTGATTTTTACATCATTCTACACTAATTAGGCATGTTATCTGTAATCTTTTGTGGCTGTTATGAAAGGAGGAGGAGAACTGATGGATAATACCTATAGGTTCAACATTAGATTCTCTTTAGAAGTCCAATTATCACTCATGGGAGACTGCACATGCACAAAAAGCATATGTTATTTTAATGTGTAAATCAATAAAACTGACTTGTTTTTTTCTGGTTTTATTTCAATATTGATGGGATCTGTAAAAGTCTTTTTGAAAAACAGCATCCTATCTGTCTTGAGTTTTCAGTAGGAAGGATAGATCAATTTCTTTGGGAAAGTTGTGAAAGAATATAGAACAAACAGATCTGATCAGTGATTCTGAAAACTTGTAAGTATTGATGGTTTCCAGCCAGGGCCTTGTATGCTTCTGGAATATGTGCTGAGCCAGCTGTGAGCTGTGCTCTGGTTAAACGCCAGCTCCACCTGAAACCAAAAGGCCTGGGATATGCAGAGTTCAGGATGGTCAGTGCAATCATTCCTTCTGACTTGAAACCTTTCCTGCCTTTGACTTTTTAGTCAATGTTTATTTTAATAAGGGAGGAGGGAAGAAAATAATACTAATATAAAAAACCCCCAGGGTATTGGGGAATGGGAAAAGAAACCAAAACAGCCTTTTAAAATTACTTTCTTAGTTCTGCATGATGGCAGATTTTGCTGTTGAACAACATGGTGCCCTCAGAAGTAAAAGGAAAAAGAGCATCTCTACAGAGGAGTCCCCAGGATGTGTGTGTGTGGGGAGCTGTTCTCAGTAAAAGGGACCATAATGATTATATTTCTGAAATGACGGAGACTAATAAATGTGGATATGTAAAAAGAAAGGATTCTTTTTTTGTTGGTCCATTGAGGAGGGCTATAATTTTTTTATGTTTAAGCTCTGATCAGAAGTTGAAGTGACATGAAATCAGAATTGAAATACAGCTCTGTGGAATACTTTGTCAGTAGGAAAAAAAATGCATATGATAAAGCTGCTGAATTTTTGGCATCAATTACAACACCATCTTGTGGGCACTGGCTAGAGACATTTAAGCCCAGGTTTAAGCAGCATTGTGCTCTGAATGAATGGAGAATTTCAGATAACTGCATTTCCCTTTTCTGTTCCAAGTATGTGTGGGTATTCTGCAGGGCTTTTATTCGATTGAATTGTAATCAGAGTCAGTAATTACTTTGCTCCTTGGAAAGATAATTCCTGGGAATGAGAAATTAGGGTGAAATTCATTCTACAAGTTCAGAGCTCTTAAGCCTACCAGATTTTTCAGGACGCTTCACAGCTTGGTTCCAGTGCATATTTGAGAAGTGTAAATACCCTCCAGCCAAACAGAAATGGTCAGAGCTAGGGCCCAGGGTACTCTGAGTTCTGGTGTCTCCTGGCTGCAACTGGTGTTACGGTGTACATTAATTTTTTGAAGGGCACAAAAGCCAAACTCCAAAGATCTCACAGACCTAGGACTGTGGTCAAATATGGTGGCTGATAAAATAAAACATTTGATGTTGCACAATTCCACCTTGGATAGCATTTTTGAATGAAATTACACAGTGACCCTCCCCAAGGTGTTCAGCTCTGTGCTGGCGTGTTCTGCAGCTGAG